TGAACTGTTCGTTGAACAGAAGTAGTCCGAGAACCTGGGTACGAATGAGTCCACGACCCCGAAGAATCCTGGGCGGCGAACTTTTTCATGGGAGCATTGGCGCCGGCATTGGAAGGGGAATGTTTGGATTGCAAACGATCGATCTGTTGCTGCAATTTGCTATTGCTTTTTTCCGCGGCAGTGTGCCATTGAGCAATCTGTTGTTGCAGAGTTGTTGAGCTACTGCCCCGTTGTGTTGTTGTTGTTGTGGTAGACAACGGCGCAGCCCGCCAGCCAGCGTCAAGATAGCCGGGGCACACGCCAAAAAGAGGCCCTTAGAGGTCCTTAGCTGTGACGTGCATTGAGCGCGTCTCGGCGGACGGCAGCCATGTGCCGCAGAGCCTCAGCACTGTCCCAACCCAGGCGGCGCGCCAAAGGATCTAAGGGGACAGGTGGTCGTGGTCAATGGTACGCGTCGCATTCCCAAACGACATGGTGAAACGAGGGAGAACAGCCTCGACAGTATGGGCACAATTCAGCCTTAGCCGACTGGGCCGTAAACAACATAGGTGAAACAAAGGCACCCGTCAAACAAGCCACCTCGCGTCGCCCTCCCGCAGCTGCGAGAGAACGTGTACGACGGACCTTATCTGCATTGAAGGCGAGAGGTGCAATCGGCACTTCGTGACGGCCAGAGGTCACGTAATCATGCCAACACCGATATCGCCAAGACTCGCGGACATGATGAGCCACCTTACTGGTTTCCAAGCAGCCGAATTGGGGTCCAGGCACAAAGAGGCTCGAATCCCTGGGTGCGCCCACTGCCAAGGCGCCACCTGTTGCCAGCCGAGAGATGCCAAGAAACTCTTGACTCTTTTTGCAGGCCCTCCCGTGGACGCCCAGTCCCTGAAAGGTGTTTGTTTACGCTTCACCACACCGGTGGACCGCCATGACGGCCGCCGCCCCGGCGCAAAAGCGCACATCCTGGCGATGGCCAAGGCACAGTTTAATCAAAGCCGGCGATGCAGCTGGATGGTCAAATCCGATTCGTCGGAGTCGGGTTTCCAAAGTGCCAAGGAGCCGTTTGTCGGCGATCGAGTAAACCATCCGAAGCATGCTTTGGACGCGACGGCGTATCCGGCCACGAACGAACGTTTCCCCGGACCCACCGGAGCAGCCCGGAGTTTATGGGCGCAGTCCCATGCTTTCCGAACTCGCTCCTGTTCTTTTGGAGTACACCGTCCAAGCCCCAAGGTGGCCCCCAAGGCATGAAGGCGATCAACCGTGTAGGGAGAAGTATCATTACAGGCAAGAAGATCTTCTCGACCCTTTTTGGTTTTGTGAGTAAATTGACTTTTGTCGATATTTTCTTTGAGGCCCAAAAAGGCCAGAATGGCGACGCCAGTGGCGCAGGACCGGCAAAAAGGAGGGAAAGGAAGGAGATCCCCAACTGCGGTCGTCCAAGAACACAACCTGTTTAGTCGAAGGTTCCTGAAGTTGGATCCATTGCATGGGCGCGGCCAACAAAAGGTTCATGACCCTATAGGGCTAAGGCCATCTCCTTGGGGGATGGACGTGGACACGGCCTGGGGAGAAGAGAGAACTTCATTGTTCCAACTCAACCATCTTTTCTGGTTACCCCAAAGATGACACACAGCCCCAGCCAAGCTTTTAGGGAATCCGTACCATTCGAGGGTAACCTGGGCCCGGCGCGGAGTAACATGGTCAAAAGCTTTTCGAAGATCCAGTGTACCAACCCAATCACCCAGAGCACAGCTCTCCCCCAGTTCCATGAAGGAGGCACACAGTCTCGACCGCCGACCCCCTGCTTGTCCCGCAGGGAGACACCGATCGATCCAGGGCTGTGCCGTGGAGTGTTTTGGCGCTGATGTAGACACCACCACACACTCATCAAACTGATGGGCCGGAGCTTAGAGGCCGGCTGAGCTCTGTCCACGTCTCTGACCTGCCCTGGTTTGGGAATGTGCACTTGTATCATCTCGCTCCAAGTCACAGGAAAGGCTCCCAGTTGTTCTCACCAAGTGAACACCTGAACTAGGTGTGTCCACATCGACTCTTTGGAAAGGAGCCAACCTCAGTACCGTTCCAACCGTGAACTCCACCCGCTCGGCGGCGTTGGTCCAACGCTGCCTTGTGAAGGCGATCTGGGTCTAAAGCCGGCCACACTTCCTCAACGGCAGTTGGGGGTCCGAACTGGCGCAGATACTCGTCGGGGTTCATGGCGCCTGCCGGATCCCGATCCCACACACGCCGCCACAAGCGACAAATCTTGGTCAAGGCCTCCTGAGGGCTTGAAGAAGAAGCATCATTCGGATCATTCTCGTCATCATATATTGTATGACCTGGATTGGAAGGCTTCTGACGAAGCCATTTGTAGATCTCACGATCGTCTGAGCGCAGCCTGTATTGCCAGTTTCTGAGGCGCTCGTGCAAGAGGTCTTGTTGTAGTGCGGCAACCCGCCGCTCGACCGTAGCTGCTGTCATACCGAAAGAGTATTCGGGGGGGGGCGTCGTCGAATGCGACTCCACAGATTGTCACCAGGAGGTGGATGCCCCCCGTGGGCCTGTCGTCTTTCCGCTTCCAAGAGTCGCCCCCACACCCTCTGCAGGGTGTGAAGTCGGTTCGGGGTAGAGGGAGTATAGGCTCTGTGAACCACGTGAAGCGGGTGCGCCCTTAGGGCGTTGCGGTTTTAATTTTTTGAACGGCCGCATGGGCAATGCCTGCCGCTGGGCCTTGAGAAGACTTAACAGACGCAACGACGTGTTGCCAGCGGGCGCACCACTCCACCCGTTCAGGTTGGGATGCGTTCCAAGCTGTCCAACAAGGCAGTCCACCCGGCAGGCGTTCCAGCTCTTTGGGCAAATACGTCAAACAAGGGACCAACTCGCAACGCTCCTGAAACCCATCCAGAGCATCGGTGGTGAGAGAGCAAAGGAAACCTCTGTGATCGCTCCAGCGCTCTTCACACATGGTCAGGGACTCGTTGGGTGAAGCACACGACGTCACCACATAATCAATCACCCGAGAACTTTTCCAGCGACTGCTGACTCCTGCAGGCACAATCAAATTTGCACCTGAACTGGCAAGCAAGCCTAGGGATAGGGCATTCGGACGGAATGTCATTGAAGTCCCCAACAACGACCCACGGGTCCGAGTGTAAGCTCTGCACAAATTCGTAGATGCTCTGCATGAGCCATGGTTTTTCTCGGTGGTGGGCTCCGTAAAAGTTACACACCACAACGGGCCCCACTTGAACGACCAAACCCTGGCCACCCGCAATTGCAAAAGTCCGGACGCGGGTACTTTTCAGGAAGGAACGAACCAAGGTATAAAGGCCACCAGGCCCCTGGAAAAGGTGATAACAGACCCAGCCTTGCTTGGACATGATGGCCCCAAAAACATCCCCTTCGCGCTGACTCATGTGAGTTTCTTGGATGCAAACCACATCCGCCTGCAGGGTGTGCAACTGAGGACCCAAAGCCCAGACGTTTTCTTTACCCTCGCTATTAAGGGAAAAAGCCGCAAAGGTCCCGGACGAGTCCTTCGCTGTGGTCCGGGGTGGGGCTCAATGCCCTCTGCAGTCAAATCACGAAACCACCCATCAACACTGCACCGATCGACAAAACACGGCCCTGGTTGCGGGTGAATACCTTCCTTGGTCAAATCCCGTTCCCATCCACCGAGATCACCTTTGGAAGAGGACGACGGTGTGATGATCCCTGGTCCGGCAAGGCTTTGAACCAACTCAGATTATCCGGTTTAGGTAGTGGAGCAAGTAAAGCCTTTTCCCAAAAAGGACCAAACTTGACGAACCCCCGCGTCGAACGATCGGAGCCCACTGGCAAGGAGCACCATAGGATGTAGATCCAGGCAGCCGGCAAGCTCAGACTGCGGGTCATACCGCAGCTCCAGCGCATCCGGCATGGCAACACAAATCGCAGCGCGGTCATCCGTTCGGGGGCCCAAAGAGGGGCCGGTGTCGACGAACGAAGCGTTGACGGACGAAGCATTGTAAGGCAACAGCAGAGCAAAGCACATCAGCCAGCTCAGCCATCTACCTATTCTTCCACATGCATTTTTGTAGGGCTGCGTAGCCTCTTGAATCGTTCTTTTGGATTTAGGCCCAGTGGCCTCAGTCTTCGCATTCTTTTCCCACTCTTTTAAATTAGTATTTTTCTGAAATCGCTGCACTTCTGCTTTTACTTTTTTCGTATTTGTTTTATTCTTTTTGATTTTTTCTTTTTCGATTTTCTTTTGCTGGTCAAATTCGCACCTCATAGAGGACAGCAGGAGGACTAGAGAAGGACACAGATTTCGACAGTGCAGCGCGAGGACAGCACGAGACAAGAGAAGGACGCACGACAGCACGAGCCAGCAGCAGGGTTGGAGGACAAGAAGGGGACAACACCTGGACACAGGGACAGGGTTCAGGGGCGCAGCCAGAGACTGGGGCCGCGAAGAGGACAACAACAGGACAAGGTCTGCCGACCGCGGCCAAACTGCACACCAGAAGAAGGGCAAGAAGAGGAAAACAGGAGGACAAAAAGAAGAGAGCCCCAACAGTAAACCGCTTGGTGAAAAATGTGGGTGAAGAAGCATGGTCTATCCCGATGGTGGGCACCATGAAGCTTGCAAACCGAAACCTCGCCCAGTTGTGTGACTGCTCCTGCACCTGCCACGAATTTGGACCACCAAAATACGAGGTTCCCCGTGCGCCTGCCGCAAAAAGTGACGACCATGATCGAAAATGTGCACCGCGCCACAACGAAAGCGCAGTCGATAAGAGCACACGCTCGGGCCCAGCGGATTCCGCGAGCCTGCACAGTCGAAATGCACTTGGATCTCGAGGTGAATGAATGTACTAATTGCAGCGAATTAGCCGACACGCCGATGAGAACCTCCGATCAGACACCCGGCCTTAACTGTTGCCGTAAGAACCCCTAATTAGTGTGGCCACACTGTTTGGGGGAAACCACGATTTTTCACACATCAGAGCAACTCATCTTGGCCACTTGGAGGCTCTTCGCCGGGCCCCGCAGTTGCATGCATCCATGCACAAACTCGTCGATATCTACTGCCCCGTTGTGGTCTGCATCGATCAACAAGAAGAGGCCCCAAATGTCCTCGGTGTCAATGCCTCAGTAGGCTCTGGTGGGGCAGCCCAAACATTTGGAACAACATTGATGGCACCTCATATCTCACGTTCATTGAGCCCAGGCCCACCCCAAAAAAGGAATTGAATAAACTCGATGGTGTGCATGGGCACACGTGTGCTCGGAGCACACGTGGGCCTTCCACAGCCGGAGGATGCCGGAGGGGGAACTTATGTGATGGAGCATGACTGATACAAGAACTATGATACTGGGCCCATGGCTTGGGACTGGAGGGCCAATGAAATAAGTAGTATGTAGCTGCCAGGGCGGTTCGGTTCATGGAACAAAGAGAAAGGACATCTACTCGTTTCAAACGAAATGCGAGATGACTGGGGAGTTGTGCACACATGATGAGTTCGGCGGGATTTCTTCTTGGCACGTGCATCAATCAAATCGTGCTATGCAGGGACCATATGACATTCCCCGCGTCGTTTCTACCAATCAAGGACCCCCAAGAGGGTCTCTGAGGTTTCCTGATTCTGTATCTTTTTGGTTCGTGTGACTTGAGAGTTATATTCTAAATATATAATCCCCCAGTGAATTCCAGCCTAGCCTGGGGGATGCAATTTATAAGGAACCCACTTGGAGGATGCACCTAAACTCTCTGTAAAACCAGCCTTTAAACAAATGGAACGTGCATAAAATGTGGGCACCCACACTTGAGCTGAAAACTGAAATTTGATGATATGTTGCCGAACAAAAATTGGAACGACATAGTCGAGTGTAGCAAAAATGAAACATTCCAAAGATCTTGATCTAACAAAGAAAATAGGGAGCATAACATGTTGCAACGGGTTTTGGCAACATCTAGTTGATTATTCTTGTGTTCTTGTTGATTATGTTGTTTTCACATCTATTCATGTCTTCTCTATAGTAAGCGAATCTCATATGTTTGACTATAGCTATTGCTTCATCTTCATTCCCAATAGAATCAGGATCTGAGATACAGAACGGCTTCTCTATAAAACTGAGCGCTTTTCTCTCTAAAGTCAGGGCACCCACGCTACTTGTAGTTCATCGACTTCACCCCTCCGTCATCTCTCTGAAATCAAGACTGCGTTCAGAAATTGAAAATCTCGAAAATGATCAACAGTAAATGATCAGTGTGGGGATGCCAAAATAGCAAAATCTCTATAAAATTCATCTGATTTGGGGCACCCAGGGTCCCCAATTCTACAAGGGATATGAAGGGATATGTCCATGGGGATTACATACATATGATCTTCAAAATCCTTTAAACCTAGCACAACTCTGACACTCCAAGTGTCCCAAGGACTCCATGAAGGGTCCCAACTTGTTGGTCGCAAGGGCCTGCTAGAATTTGCGAGCGTCACGAGGAAACGTCACGTAGCACCAATTGTACACGTGAAGGTCAAGTCACAAGTACCCTCACTTGAAAGATCTGGATGCGTTCGAGCGCCGTCGGCATTCACGGGTCGAAAACGGCTATGCGACACGTCACCCAGAATCGGTTCGGGCTTGCCCCACTTCGCACGCTCTGCACACGCACGACACATGCTCTACACACATTCTACGCGCTCCACGCGTAGCTCAGGTCCTGCAGCTCATCAATGCTCACTTCATTCGATTCTCCCTGGTCCATCTCATGGAAGGCCTCTGCGCAATTCACCAATGGGATCTGGAGACCCCTGGAGTTCCAACTGTGCGAGTCCCAGATTCCATCCTCTTTGGTCAATTCGGACTCTAAAGAACCTTGAACAATTAAAGGTGGTTGCTGTGTTTCAGGGACCTTGTCTGCATCGGATATACTAACAGTTACTAACCGCCCTCACCAGACTGCTCCATGTCCAAGACTCTTCACCGTTGGGAGACTAGTCAAGTAACCGTTGGTTAGCTATGGCCTCTTGTAAAGATGTGATGTTCTCCAGGCGTTTGTGCATCTGCTTGAGGGTGGCAATGTCCTTGTCCGCACTGGCACTTTCAATGGCAGTGTTCACAAACCTGGCGAAAAGGAGTGCAAAGGCAGCGCGCGTTCATCATTGTTGGAATGCGAGTCAACCGTGTGGACAGACAACTACCAAGAGCACACGGTGGCTAGGGGTTCAACCCAACAAAGGAACGAAACTCCACACCCTGCGTTCCAGCAAGCAAACAAAAAATGAAATCATTAAAGCCTATTTAAAAAAACTTGCCAGAAACACCTTGACTCATGACCTACAACCTACTGAGCAGGGCAAGAGTGGGGTATGACCGCAAAAGGGAAACACAAACAAAAAGGAACTCCCCCGTTCCAAACCAATGCACTATCACTTGGCAAGAACAGTCGCAGGCAAGGCCGCGAATGTGGAAACGCTAAAATCATGGCCGCTCTGCTGGGACACCCGTTCAGCCTCCCTTATGTTCTCTCATGTAATTGTGTCTGCACTTTCTTTTCTTTGCTTCTGTCGAGGCTGAGGGCCATGCAAGCCTCACATAATCTGTAGAATATCGATAATTCCGTGCTTGTCACTGCTGTCCAGCCAAGCAACACACCCGTTACAACGTTGAGTATTGTGAAGAACCCGATCACAATGTACAAGTTCATGAGCGACTGCGCCACCCATGAGACTTCCCGCAGGGGCTCATAGGCAATTTGCCAATCTATGCCACCAGTGATGGACATGAACAGCGTCAGCATACCTTCATTACTCCGAACATTGTTCTCAAACAAAGGCAATGCCACCACTAGTGGTGTAGTGTAGCAATCCTGAAGGTGCACTAAAATCCTGTAGATACCACACCAATCCACACCCAACGGTCCAAGATTAGAGTGTGATGCTCTTAGCATTAAGGCATGGACTCATCAAAAGCGCCCGGGCACCGTCCATGACATTGGAGAAATGATGCAACTCCTCCGGGCACTTGGGTATGGCATTGGGGGTTGTCGTGTTGGATGTCGTATTGATCGTATTGGCAATGGTCGTGTAGCGGCAGTGGTCTGTCACCAACCTTAGGGCGCAGTGGCTGAGCACCTGGTCTGATTGCACAGATCCCACAGCAAGCTCGCCGCAGGCAAGGCACTGTGTGAACATACAGCTGAAGGTATAGAACAAAATCAGCAGCAGCAGCAAAGTCCATAGCAAAGATCCCATGGTGCTGAAGATGGAGAGGATCAAAGCCCTCAAAGCCTCTGGTGGCTCGAGAAATCTCTGCCGCTTAGTCTCATCCAAACAAGTGACTTGTAAGAAAGTGTCCGAACAATTTACAGTACGTACTTGTAGGATGATGGTACGTAGGCTCCTCATCTCTTACAGCACCTCCAAAGTCATCCAACTCTCCAGCCACAGTACACTGAAGTAGCGGAAGAGTCTGATGACACGAACCCCGCGGAGGGTGCGCGCCAGGCGCAAGGTCTTGACCACACGGAAGGAATTGCCGCCATCTGCGGAGGTGTCCATGGTCTGCACCCACCAGTCCAAGGCCGTCTCCGCCACCGAGAACGAGACGATCGAGAAGTCAAAGATGTTCCTGAGAGACGTTGCCATGGCGCTGATGGGGGTGACGATGGGGGTGATTCAGTCAGCGTCCGGTCGGTTTGCGACTCTCTCCACATTTGGTTCACTCTCTGCGAATTTGGCCATGGACCTTGATGAATTTCTGGACAAAGCATGATGAATTTCTGAACAAAGCATGTTCTACTGAGTGGGCATGGCAGTGGGCCTCTCACACATGCAGAAGTGAAGACGGTAGCTTTGATGATGGTGTGCTCGCGGAGGTGCAGGCGGAGCATTGCGTCATGCCTATTCATGCCCTGGTCCACTCATCCGCCCAACAGCCCGACTGGTGTGACAGGCGCTTCTTCAAGTTTAAGACGTCAGAAGTGTAGAAAAGAATAGTGATGATGATCACTATGATGACTGATGGCTAATGCGACTGAAAATGGAATGATCGCGGCGGCGGCAGCAGCAGCAGCAGCGGGTGCTGTTGTTGTCTTCTTGATGCTGCAAAGTATGATTGGTGCATTAGGGACCCTAAGGAGCCCTCACACCCAGTTGGAATGTCGAGAAAATAAAGGAGCGCAAACCGCACTCAGGGCTGCTTCCTCTTCCTGGGTTTCCCTTGACTTGAGCATCTTGAAATGTCTGCAGGCCAAGAACACGCCAACAAAGCCTGCAGTGAACTGCAATCCCTTCAAAGGTTTAAGGCAGGGCAACTGTATGCAGTGCCCTTAATCTTCCAAACAAAGCCTAGCTTCCACACAGCCTCCTCGCCTTTCCAGAATCTACCACAGCCAAGGCCATAGATCTTCAGCAACATTTCACCCAGAAACAGAGCAACAACGCAGGCCTCGGCTTGTCCATCTTAGGGACATCTCTCCAAAATATGTGTGCAAGAAGTCTTCTCAATAAAGTGCACCCCCATGGTTTGGCCGTTAATATTACCTTCAACAGCTGGGAGCAACCCTCCGCAATTTTTTTGCATTTTCGAGGTGTCACACCGGCTGCCCCCAAGAGGTGACGGAAAGAAAGCTGATGCACTTCTGGGCGATGTGATCCGGAACCTTCGCGCCCAACTTCGCCGATCACCCGCGCAGGACGCTCCCGCGCCCACTTGGAATCTATATAATCATCTTATCGGATAGGAGGACAGGACAGTCGGGACCAGCAGGGGAATGGATCGAAGAACTGTGCTGAGCTGCGTTCACCACGGCAAACCAGCTGGGGATATCCTCTTGGCCCAATTTGGAGGACGCATCGATCTCCACTCCCAAAAGGATGGAGTTGAAGAGAATCACTGCCATAATGATGTTGACGAAAATGGTCGATGTCACCTTAGTCACAGATTGATGATGAGTTCTCTGAACATTCCCCGTGCAGCGTACCGGGTGGTATGCATATAAACACATTTAGTCACAGGTTCATCCAGTATCAGGATCCACGACAAAAAGAGCGATGGAAGTTTTAACAAAAGTTTAGCGCGTGACTGCGGAAAGTTTGTTACTGAATACTAAGCAGACCGAATTAACGCCGTGCACGAGAAAAAATAGATTTGGGTGAATAGCATGAGAACCACCATGAGAAAGCAAACCGAAAGGAGAACAGCTTGTGCAACAGTTCCGCAGGTACGTTTTCAGCCCTCACCAGTGGCATCTTCGGTGGCCATCCACCACTGGTGAGGGGGATGGCCCCCTGCGAACATGGTTTCAGAAAAACAAAACTCTTGGAAACAGAGTGTGACACACACGCACACACACGCGCGCTTATGTATAGACAGGTGAAAGGATGTAAAAAAGCAAAATAGATGGATTGGATTGGATTGGGTAAAAAGTATGTATTGACATACATACATACATACATACGTACATACGTACATACGTACATACGTACATACGTACATACATGCATACATGCATACATGCAAACATGCATACATGCATACATACAAACATACATACATACTTGCATACATACATGCATACATACATACATACATTACAAACATTACATACATTATTACATACATTATTACATACATTACTACATACATTATTACATACATTAATACATACATTAACACATACATACATACATACATACAATACAATACAATACAATACAATACAATACAAACATACATACATACATACAAACATACAATACATACATACATTGCATACATACAGTACATACATACAATACATGCATTGCATACATGCATTGCATACATACATTGCATACATACATTGCATACATACATTGCATGCACACATTGCATACATACATTACATACATACATACATACATACATACATACATACATTCCATACCATACATTCCATACCATACATACGTTGCATACATACATTGCATACATACATTACATACATACATTACATACATACATTACATACATACATTACATACATACATTACATACATACATACATACATACATACATGCATCCATACATACATACATACATACCATTACATTACATTGCATTACATTACATTAACATTAACATTAGCATTAACATTAACATTATATTACCTTACATACCAACATACATACATACATACATTCATACATACATACATACATGGCTCAAGCTGTGAGCGGTTCAAGCAGGCTGCCCATCATAAAGACCTGCTAGTGTGGACAAACCCCTTTCACCACGTGCGCACGGTGAATTCCCTGACAACCACCGCCACAGCCTTCAACCTTGGCAAGCGTCCTTTGCCCGCAGTCACGGTCTTCACCTTGGCCATTGTTGCAGACCTCTACGGCACCTGGCATTGATCACCTTGTGATTGGTACTTCATCACTGACCTCAAGGCAGGCCTGATTGTGATCGGTGCCACCCACTGTGCCATCTTCTCTGCATATCTCAAGGCTGCAGAAGACCTCTTCAGGAGCAATGACATCCTGGTGCAGAGCCTACGTGCCTTGCAGCAAGTCCACCTGTACGAACTGGATTTGGCAGGATAAGATGTATCCGGGCACTCGATGCCGACGTTGTGGTACCATGCCTATGGCAGTTGAATCCTTTGTCCATAGCCTGGGCATATCTTTGACTGAGGAACAAAAGTCTCAGCTCCACGGCCTCTTGAAAAGGCCCAATCAAGATCCAGAAGACTCGATGAAGCGCAGTAAAACTGAGGCAACACAGCATGCGACTCCAGGACATTGCGGGTAACACCCACAGTTTGCTTTTTCAGGGAAGTCCCAGTTCCGGACGATGACATCATGTCATGCGAAGGGCTTGAAAGTCCAAACAAAGGGCAAGTTTTTGAAGAGATCACAACCTTTAGATGCCATTCAGCCAATGGTAGCCTCTCAATCACCACAATGGGATTGCCGTGCTGCCTCAGGCTCACAGCTGCATCATCGGATATCAGCTCCAATGTGTGCAGGGGACAATGCACATGCTAAAGACTTCAGGGGAGCTCAACACTACCTATGACGGGGAACAGTCATATCACGGTGGTCATGAGCAACATCTTTCCAATTTTGAAGCTCACAGCTTACAAATTCCAGAGACTACGGAGCCAGCTGTAGGGGCGCCACATGGCAAAGTTTTCCTCTCCATTTTAGGAAGAGCTTCAACCACTGCAGACACCCTCGACAGCGCCACACAAAAGGCTCCTGGCGTGCAAAACTATGCCACAGCAACGGACTGCATTTTGCAGAATCTCACCATGGTTGTGGGCAATCCAAGTGTGAGGTGCTTTGCCAATGCACCCTGGAGGAGAGCCTTCACTTGGGTATGCGCACTTCTCCAAGAGACTAGCACTCAGCCTTGGGGGACACTACAAGAAGCCGTGCAGGAATCCATTGACACGGCTGAACTGGTTGACATCCAAGCTTTGCCAGGACTACGAGATGATTGGAAGCAGCATGATCTCAATGTTCAAGGAGATGCCAGCCACTTTGTCAACTCCTTGTGGCTTTTGTAAGAAAGCAGAGCCTTTCACTACCGCTTTGCTGAAATCAAGGAGGGAGGCTACCTCACGGATCATGTCCAACAACCCATCCTGGTGCCCTACCCGGATGAATGGCCAGATGATGTGATCCTTCAGCAGCTCATCAACAACTGGGCAAACCAGGGCATGGGCCAATACTTGATGGAGGACAAAAAGGTCCTGATCTGCCACGTGACCCGCAACACTTGCATTGACGGGGTGATGACCAAACATCAAAAGCCCTTCAATCCCTATGGCACGTTCACCATGCCTAGATCACTGGATGGCTTTGCACGAACGTCCACAGAGTTTGTGCCAGCAGTGCTCATTTGCCATAGAGGCCAATCTCATCAGCAGGGGCGCTATTTTGCCATCCTCATCTACCGCGACCACATGTGGATAGCAGATGACGGCAAGGTGCCAATCCATCTGCCAAACTTGACACCAAGCCTGGCGAGCCAAATCACTCAAGTATGGGCAGTGAGCATCGATTGCTTTAAAACACCTCAACAAGTACTTCAAGGCCTACCACCACCGGAAGAGCCTGATTATATGAGCCACCATTGCACCCAAGTCCTATTAAGAACGACTCGAGCAGGATCACAATGTTCTTCATTTTGGCAATGTCACTAACTTCGGCCGCCAAGTGCTCGAATGGTACTGGACGAGAGACAGTGGCATTCACATCTTTGCGGAAACTCATTTGGATCCACAGAAACACTATGAAACATGCCAATACCTCACAGTTCGAGGACGCACGGCTTTTGGAACACCGGCTGGGCCCAACCAAGACCACACTGGCACTCATGGAGGTCCCTTGGTACGGAAACAACGATATTGGTCATCGGCTTTCGAACAGGAGAAACCTTGCAGAGTGAGACAAACGCTGCCATCATGGCCAAGCTCCTGGCTCTGCTCACACACACAGCACGCCCATTTGCGCGCATCGGGGATTGGCAGAACAAGCTAAACTCTCTGGCTGGCACGGTCCTTTCCTCCAAGTTTCACGTTGGGACTCTGGCACCAGATCACAGTGTCCTTTCAGGCAACACCATTGACTATGCCATCCTCCGCAACACCCTGACGGGAACTACCTCCCTTCTCACTGAATGGTCAATTCCGTGGAGGCCACATGCACACTAAAGCTGAAGTTCGACATCGAAGCTGCTACCAAGGAGAAAAAACAGATGCCATACTTCCCACCACTGCCAAAGGTTCCCGACATTGACTTCAGACCTTGGACCACCTACCAATCCCAGGCACATGTGGTTGAGCTCTACGGCAATCCGCCAGCACAAGCTTGGGCTGACTGGCTGTCAAAAACTGAGCAGTACCTCCTCCAGGAGAACCCATGGGCGGCTCAAGGGCGTGGCTATCAGCTGCAGGTAGTCACAAAGCCTTTAGTACCTCAAGCCAAAGCACACGCCTGGCGCAAAGGGCGGCCAGCATTTCTTCGAGCGGTCCTGCGCCTTGCACTCCAACAACCGGTGACCACCTGCACAGGCCCTGTCAACGGTTTCATGCAGAGGATTCGCCACGCACACAGGCACTGGGTTGGGGCTCCAACATGGGGGCAGTTTCTCGATACGTGTCATCATTGGCATCGATACCGTGATCCTCATGCTGCTGAACTGCTGCTCCAGACAATCGGACATCAGCTACAAGAGGCACAACAGGAGGCCAATGAGGAAACCTCTTTGCAGTATCGACAGTGACTACAAGAAGGCTATCAAAAAGGCCTGAAAGGACTCTTCAGAAGTTTGAAGAGCAGCGAACTGGCATGGGAGCGACCATATCGTATGACACCAATGCCTGAGCGCATGGATCAACGGCTGGCTGATTGGGGAGGCTTGTGGAAGATCAGACAAGACAATACTCCAAGTCCGAGGCCCAGTCTTCAACAAGCAGCACAACAGCAAGCAGCCACCCTTGAGCCATTGACCCAAGGGATGCTACAGCGGGTTCTTAAAGCACTCCCTGACCGAGCCAGTGGACCTGATGCGGTGTCAACACAAATGCTCCAAAGCATCCCACCGCTGGCATTGACTCCTCTGTTACAGCTCTTCCAAACCATGGACAACACAGCAGAGCTTCCAACCCAGCTACAAATGCATCTGGTCGTCATGCTGCCAAAGAATCAGAAGCTGGAGAGACCCATCACACTCACATCCACCCTATGGCGTGTTTGGCGCCGTGTAAGGAAGCCACTCCTGGACAGATGGCAGCATCAACTCCCGCAGAGCATGAACCATGATAAAGCTCGACCAGGTGCCAATGTCCTGCATGTAGCACTAGAGCGACTACTACGCCAGGAAGTCACCAAGGCAAGAAGCATCACTGTGTTGATGGACATGTCCACCTTCTACGA